AGTTAGCCATCTTAATTAATCAATTATATCAATAGTAATAGTATAATATTGGCTACTTAACTTATAAATTGAATATTTAGAAAGTGTATACTATTGGAGTGCCCCCAAATGCCCTGGTATGGCCGAGAGTAGGGAGAGTCTGCTCTCCCTCTCCAAATGCTCTCACATGGCCACGCTTAAATAGCCTCTACCAGGGAAGTCCTACTCACTGCCTTCTCGTGGCATTAGTGTTGTTTACGAAATTGAGAGGACGGAAAGCGAATGCTCGGCGCTTTAATCGGATTGGTAGACACGGAAAGCTCACATAGGGGAGTTGGAAAACCCTGATTCCAAACCAATGGTGCATATGGACTCCAGTATCCTGAAGGAACGAATGGCGTATGAATCAATCGTTGATCACCGGCCACTATGGGACTGCATCTCCTTACGATGCTCCACTGCCTTGTGGATCAGACCTTTAGGTCGAAGGCTCGGGTTGTGGTCCCCTAATAAAACCACCTGCTTCGGTTTGGGCACCTGTGCAGTATCATAGCCCTCACACAAATCTCATTTGATTTGTGCAGCGCATAGGTATCTGGTGCTTCCTTGTACCAATATTTATGTGTATAAATAAAATAATAAAAAAAATACCATTGGATTATAAAGAGAAGATAAAATAATTAACAGGGTTATCATCAATAATCTTGACAGATTTGGAACAAATCACTTACAAACCATGATTAATGTTACATTTTAAAACTGATAAATTTGTACTGCCGTGCTTCGCTAATCGTTCATCTAGATAACCGTCATAATACAAATCTTAACGGTGTATAAAATCAAAAGGCAAAGAGAAACGACAGCTACAGTTTTATTGACAAATGACGCAGGTCAGAAAGTTATAAACACATCAGTAAATATCAGCGAGCGAAACAAAAATGACACACATTGGAGATAATGACGAAGCCAACTCATTTTAAGCAAGCGTTAATCAATATTTATAGTCAGACAAGAATAAATGACAGACATGTGATAAATAGGATAAGAAGGGTACACGTACCTACGCTCATATGAAAATTATCAGGGGTTAATAAGTGAATAATTAACAAGGTGAAAACATAACTCATGATGGATAGGTGAATTGACTTGTCCAGAAGTTAGAATAAAGTATATGAGCTTAACATATAAGCCGATACTACAAATTATACACAAGCTGTATACGTTCTTAATCAATGAAACAACGGATATTGTAGAAGTTGGGACTGATCATTCGAATTACTGTTCCTTATAATTTTATTGTATAATTACTGAGTAACTAGATTATTATGTATATATATCCCATTATTCATAAGATTTCGGTTAACCCATTGATTACTATCATGCGACTAACTATTCCTAATTTGTTACCAGTCACTTATTTACAGCTTCCCCTACTGAGCTACTTTTGGCTTGTTCATGTATAATTATTATTCTTTATTTTATGCTGTGATATGGTCTCGTTTGTCTATATATATACCACTTCTGTTTGGAATATAAACGTAAAAGACTGGTTGCTACTTCTGAACTGAGAAGCTGGGCATAGAAGGGGCCAGCTTATAATGGGTCAATAGGAACCTGGATACCGGTTCAACGTCAGTAGTGCTGGTCAGGCATGTAAGTGGTCAAGTCAGAGACACTAGTGTGAATGGCAGACTAGATTAGAATTGGTAACTAGGCACATGATATTGGTCTTTGGATCTTCAAGACATAACACATTCATAGACTACATTCACATTATTAATTTAGTGACTACGTAACAAGTTATGTATTGAAAGAATAAGTGATTTTAACACATATTTACAACTTCTATTCAACATGTTTGATTTCCGGGCCATATAACTGAATTTCCAGAAAAAGTGTAACGTTGTTGTTTGTACTTTAACGTTCATAATCATCTAGATCTATGTTATCGGTTAGGACATTGACAATGGGCAATTTAAAGTTTATCATGAGATTTCATATATATTAAGACAAGTAACTAATCTCTCACTACAGCTAAAAAAAATATCCAACCACTTCATCATATTTATTTCGACTGATAATTTAATGAAAGCATTATGATGTTGAGTCTCTCTCCGATGAAGGCTACTATCCAGCTTATGTGATAACCTATTGTAAAATTCGAAAATACGGCAAAGAGTCTTCTACAAAGCTTTTAATAATATACTAAACTATTTTCTGTTATATTATTTTATATGCTTTCTCTTGAATTCACTTTCAGTGATACTACTTCCGAAGAATTCATTCGTTAGAATCTCTTACCATTTTCGCACATAGAAATATACACATTCTCGGATACAAATAGACACTTATTTTTCAGAAGGGGTTTTGTGGATATTTAGTATTTTCATAGTTGGAAGCGTGAGTCAATTGAAGCTAGACCACCATCGAAAACCTGGACGACCGTTTCATCCTATTATGGGACTCCTCAGCAGTGCGCATCCATAATCTCGCACTCGCGAGATTCGGACCCACCAGTCTCGCGCCAGAGCACTTAACCGATAGACCACTGAGCCGACATCCAACGGTGCTAATGTCTAACTTCAATTGATCGATCAAGTGCTCTGGCGCGAAACTGGTAGGTCCTGGGTTCGAATCTCGCTCGCGAGGCGGGATCGGATGCGCACTGCCACTGAGGAGTCCCATAATAGGACGAAACGGTCGTACAGTGTTTCCAGGTTTTCGATGGTGGTCTAGCTTCAATTGACTCACACTTTCAGCTTATGTTTCCAGAATTCTGCATAAATTTTTATCGTAACAATGTAAACTTCTGAAAAATAATTCCTCTTGTTTTGACTAATGAGTAGATAATGAAGTGATCGATGGAGTCTAGTGAACCCTAAAGGACTGGATGAACACAGCACTAGTCACTGCTCAATTGTCAATCGCTCAGACCTACAGCTCAATGACTGTTAGAATAGCTTAATATTACTGTCTCGAGCTGTGAAGTTGGTTAACATGGGTTTGGACAGTACAAGGGACACCAAGTTCCTCGGGAGAACGAAATGTTAGTGATTGCCAACTAGTGGGAAGCTTAGGTCCCGTGTTCATTGCCAACCACCTCCAACAGTCTAACATTTCAAAATGGTGCAAGTTGTCGAGTCACTTAGACTTGTGTTGACATTGAAACTTGATCGATAAGATCCGAACAGCACTAAGGGACTAGACGTAGATGATATTGTCCAGTATATTTTATACCGAAGGACCATTGATCCTTGGACGGTAAAGATCATAATAATAACTCACTGACTACTTCACATATCGATTTCTGCAATCTGAAGAAATTAATAGTTCAAAAAACCTTTGAATGAGCTCTCAATTTATGTGCATAGAACTAGAGAAAGTCAGTCTTCCACCAATTCAGATATATCACAAGAGACATAAAACTGATGTACGACTAATCATTTTATTGAATAAACAACACGAACAATAACTAGCTAAATTGTTGGTCAACTTTCAGTTCCATAATAGGCATCTCTTTATGCTGATCATTTTTCCGAACATTACTATAATTGTTGAAATGAAAAACAGATCAACTCTAACATTCGCTCTCAGGAAACCATCTTAAATGAATTTCCGAATCAATGGATAAAACTGACATTCAGCGAATAGTTAGGACTCTATATCCATAACATTATAGTTTCATGTTTTGAAACGGCCTGTGATTGATGTTATTAACAGTCATAAAAAGGTACTTCGTTGTAAATAGTTTACGTTTTACGAACCCTTTTCTCTGCTGGTTTATCGAAACTAATCGAGTAGGAAAATTTGAATCTAGGTCTCCTGAAAACTGACACACATCAGTAACGAGTACCTTCAGTCTTGAGAGGACTGATGCCCCCTGTAGAACTCGAACCCACATCATCTAGTTTTACGGAAATTATTACCAGGCTATTTGGGCCGCGACTGATTTCATGTAGGTCTGAGATATCGACAATTGATCGGCCGCTGAGTAGTGACCAATGTTGTGTTTGTCTAGTACTTGATACTGATCGAGTTCTATCGATCAAGTTAAAATGCACCCACTAATGTAAGTGATTTGCTAATATACGCTCTGTTGAGATATTAGTTGGTTGGAGGTAGACGGTAAAAGAAATTGAATTTAATAAAGACTACTTTGAAATATTTACACAATGAATAAAACATTGAATCCAACATAATTCACTGTCAAAATAAACGACCCATGTTTTTAAATAACTCATCAATCTAAGAGTGCACTTTGTTGATACACATCCGTAAAATTATAAATAAATGGAGAAAAGTCGTAGCTTTTTGTATGAATGTTCGCAGAGACCGAAGGTTATGAGTTCAATCTCCAGTGGCGGAGCTATAGATGTGCATTGCTAAGTCCTGTACTAGAACAAAACAACTGTCCAGTGCTACCTGAGTTTCAACCGATATCTAAAATAAGTCGGTTAGTAGCGTTGTGGTGTGGGTCACTTATATCTACATAAGTAATATGTAACGATAATCAGGCATAAAATGTATTTCAGTAGAAGATCGATAACGAAACGCAATTGATATGAAAATGTATGGACAATCAAACCTGAGACAATGGACTGATATTTGCAAAAAAACAGTCAAGTTTGGGACGATGGATTGTTATTTTGCACATCAACTATTTATTATAAGGTTCTCAGATTTTAGTGAGATATTCTGTAATTTCGTACCAAATACACTCGATTGTCCCCATTTGTGTTTTCGTTCACTACAACGTTAATAAAGATAAATTTATCGGATGACTATAAAATAGTTTACAGGAATTTCTGCAACAAAAGTGTTTTCCTTATCATCTTGTAGTGCTCATGTGCTCACAGCTTCCTGGCCTACGTTATTTGTCAATAAAAATGTAGTTGCCGCTTCCATCCACCTTCTGATATTATGCACCGTTAAGATTTCTATTATAACGGTTATCGAGGTGAACTATTAACAAAGTACGGCAATCTAATCACTAGTTAGACGTGTATTTCCATAACCACAACTTTCGCGTTAGAACTCGAACTCATATTTCTGCATGAAAAGATATTTTAAAAAAATCTACACCGTTAGCCTTGATAGATAGATTCAACTCAATTTTAGATGAAATAAAAAACCAGAAAACTGCATAACAGACATTTATAATGTTCAATTTATTTGAAAGAGGGGAGCAAATAAAAGCAAAAAAGAAGTGTTAACAAAAGTTGACAAGTAAACAAATAAATCAGAAAAAGTTTTACTTTGAAGCAAGTCATAGAAAAATGAAGTGTATTATTATTGGGTACTTAGACATACATATTAACCGGTTATTATGATGGCGTCATATATATGTGGGTTGAAAGCGTTTTACATTTCCCAAGCAAAATGAAGCAAAGTGAACACTTTCTTTTATATATATATATATATAAATACATAAAATAAGACAAACACACCAAATGCTCCATTTCACTTATATTCTTATGAAACCATAAACAGTGAAGCCAATAGTAATGGACAGAAAAACACACACAGAGATAAGAAAAGTAAAGCAGAGTTTGCAGTTCAAAAAGAACATGAAACTGAATTGAACCAGTAATGAATCGATTTATACGGGCACTTGAGGTTTGAACATATTTTCAACATATTTATCACTGAGACAAAGAAACCAGCATTGTAATGAAGAAACAAACGAAATACTGCTAAACAGGATATTATTCAAAAATTACAACACATCCTTTTTCTCTCAGACTGGAAGAATAAGTTGGCGACCTTTGAGTACTATGAAATAGGACAAGATGAAAAAAACAGTTATGTTTTAATCCGAAGTACCAACATATAAGAATTATTGAATAATTGTATATACAATCATTGACTTTTAATCTAATATTTAATGTATAGGTTTAAATGTTGACCAAAATATCTCATCAGATACTCAAATTACAATATAAAGGTTTTCAGCTATTAGAACTACAAAGAGTGATACACCAATCATGATATTGTACAACATATTAGTGTTTTCTTTTCATATTGATTATTGTTACTTGTGACAGATTAATTTGTTTTTTCTGTTGGTTAAAGTACACATCTTTTTAAATAGAAGTTCATGCTACAATGTTTATCAATGATTGTAGGGTCTCCGTATAATCCATACACCTTGCAATCAATTTAGTCAGTCAGTCAGTCATAAACAACGTAGAAGATAGAACATATGTACATTAGTTCAAGTCGTAACATTATATCAACAAAATGAGATAAAAATACCAGGACAAATGACAAAGGAGTAGAAGTAGTAACAGGGACAGAGATATCAATTTAGATACAATTGAAAAATTTTAATATAGCTATACATCTATAATAAGTAACATTGTTAATTACTTCTAATAAAAACCTATACTAGGCTAAAAATAGTAGCTGAGGAATCAGATATGATTGGGTAGAAAGAATGGAAAATACAGCTCATATGAGAAGATAGTGTAGTCTGCCCAGTCCACCCCACGAAGTGAAAAGATATGAGTATGAGTATAATTTAGTATTTAGAAACAATAAAATTATTGTTGATGCAAGTCACTAACTAAATACAAGTTGTTATGCTGGACTTTAATCTACATCTGAGTGATAATAGAAACATTGGAAACTAATGCAATCTATGTACTGTGCAAAGGTTGGTGTATGTAAGGTTTTCAGTCACACATTTTATTTTAGGGTTGACGATGCTATCCAGATGTACAAATGAAATGGGGTGAAGCAAGACTTGAATTTAAAACTGAGTAGTTGAAAGAAAAATGTTTTTGTTACTAAACAACACAACATCAACTAGAAACCATTTGGTTTAAACCTGCAATCTAATGGCTGGGAACAAACTACTTGGATCCTAATTTATAATAACTTGTGTTATCGCTCTGGTGAATGTTTTGACTGAAATTCGATCAACTTTAGCATATGTGCATCTTGTGAGGATTGCCTTGATATACCGATTGTCACATGTTTTATACAGAATAGATGGAGTGACAAGCTGTGAATGTGGGGACTTCTAGGTGATGAATCCTATATATGAAGAAACGTGCGTCCTGAATTCCCCTGGTAGCCACTTTCATGTGTTCTATATAAACTTGTAACATCCGGTATATTGAGATGATCTGCAACATATGCTAAAACTAATTACAAAATACTCAGCAACGAGATAGTTTAAACTATTACAAATTAAGTTGAAATTCAGATCCATTCCATCAGTGAGCGGTTATGTGGACTCATTAGCTAAGGGATAACACGTTAGTGTTTGAAGCTAAAGGTACTGGGTTTGAATCAAAGAGAGAAAATTGACTCTGAGAAGCAGGCACATCTAGTTAACAAGTCCCAAATAGGACAAAGTGTCCACCCCGGATTCCACCACCAGCCATATTCTATTTATTCTGTATAGACCACTAAGTTGTTAACTCGTGGTTCCGAGAAACCGACAGACAATACGATTAAACTCAACAATTCCACCATCATTTGTGTGTCAAGCCACAAATCTAAGAGCAAAAATATAAACCGGACTTCTTACCTCTAGTGACATAAAGGTAGAAGAAATCAATGTATAATAGTGTCTGGACACATCCAGCTACAATAGCTACCAAGTCATAAACATCTTCCACGTAATATCGGTATATCCAATTGACCAAATACAAGGCACGATAAGATCCCAATGCGAATAAATAATGCGCAGTTATCGTTTCCGCTTCACCTGTGCTACTGATCATAAATAACTGAGGCAAAATAGCAACTGATTCCAGATATATAGAGAATGTCCACAGTACCTATCAAGAAAATAACATAAGTATTTGAATGTGAATTACTTTTCCAAGCAAATGTTGAGCACTATTAAACATATCACAAACTTTTGCATGTGAAAAAGGCGAAATTATCGCAGGTTATTGCTAACACTGAACAGATGGTTGGAGGAAACGAGTATACTAAGTAGGATGCACCATTTTTTCTACCGTTTCAACATATTAATCTTGTTGACCATGTTTTACAATGTCGTTAGAGCGAATAACGTTGTTATCGAAAAATTCGGGTTTTAAATCATTTTCATAGAGAATTCATCGTGTTCCTGATTTAGAATAGTATGGAGCCACTATTAACCATTAACTATTAAGTTAGTGTATTAAAAACTTGTTTAACGGCTTTAATAAACCTCGACTCGACAGAAATTTTACATGCAATAACAAACTTCCGTTCGGATTGCAAATTTGTACGATATTACCCTTTACAATAACCCAAATTGAAAGTGAGTCAATATCTATAAATAAAGAAATGGCAAAATCATCTATTACAATTTTTTCCAACCATGGAGACTTAATGAATGACAAAGTTTTGATGTATGATTGTATGAGTTCTTTAACTCCAGCACTGCTGTTTATATCAGTAACCTCTCAATAAATAAGTTTACACTTCAAACCCGCACCCTTTCTAACTACAAGTTGAATAATTGAACTTCTCGTTTGACTGGATATAGAAGTATCCTCCATTCTGACGCATTTCCGTGATCAGACTAAACAACATCCACAAAATAACCAGTTTCCAAAAACATTTAAGAGAAATATTTTGCTTCCTTTAACCTTTATAAACAGTAATCAAGAATATCAAGATCTCATGGACAACTGGAAGAATGTATTCGTGGAAAAATAGAAACCTATGAGAACAATGGAAAAACTTGAAAGATGACAATTTGTGTGCCTTGTCTTATTTTGGTAATGCATTAAACATACTAAGTTGCAGGAATAAAAGTCGGAGTGAGGGATAGTTCAAATGCAGTCCGTTTACTTGAACTCGACTTGGTTCACAAAAAGACGGGTGTGAACTTTCAAGCTATAAAGAAACCACCAGAATAATGCGACGTATATTATGTGTTTGATAACATTAGTACTGCACTATTACATTGAGAATAAACCATAATGAATTTGTGTGTAACTCAGATTTTCCCATGTTAGCGCTTCGATGTCCTTAATAACTATGGGACAGGCAGTATTATTAAGCATACAAAGTATACTTCAAAGCCGATGTCTTACTAAAATTAGTATAGACCTACACATCGTAAAATAATTATATTTACAATTCGTGTAATTAATAATTCGTTTGAAAGATGGTGGTGTGATCAACTTGAGGACACTCTCATTAGACTATTGTAGTGCAAACTTACTTCCAAAATCTCAAACTTATGGTTGACAAGACATGCGAGGCCTCCGATGGGGATTACAAAATAGGGAAGACGAAACAAATGATCATTTGTATCTAGAGTTGCCTTGAACTTTACATAAATGAAGTAAACCGTTAAATATGACAGCGCAATAAACGTTATCTTCATTATTGTGTTGTATGCAGATATGTAGTATATGAACAAGTCAACATATCGCGTAGTAAACACCAATGCAAACATAATTTGAGTTTTTCCTGAGAGACCTGCAGAAGTTGAAAACAGTTAATAGATAACTTACCCTTGCACGAACGAGAAGAACGAATTTTTAGTAACAATATTATGAGTGCTGCAAGGTGGGAAAGATCCCCTAACAGTCTAAAGACATTCATGTTGTCCGAGGGGTAGCCAAAACAGCCAGCAACAAAAAATTTGTATTCGGACCACAAAATTGTTGCACCTTCACTGTTCAATCAATTTTATCTGAAAAGGTAAAAAATCGGAAGACCTATATTAATCCTCACTGTTTGTAGCTCTGTGATGAATCAGTCATTTTAAATGTGTGTAAAGCAACTGATGATGCTATGCGTTCTAACAGATAATTATAGTGGTTGGCAACTGAGTGAGAGAAATAAAACTATATGTTGACATGATTTTACCTTGGCCTTAAAACCTTTTGAGAAAATATACTTAGATCATTCATCCTTCGTGGAAGAGCAACATAAAACATAATAACAACCCTTCGTAATACGATAGGCTAGTGTTAGACCACCATAAACTACATTAAGACAACGAAAACCGATTAGGGCAATTCACAGTCTTAACTCCTCACCTGTGAACCTTTAGCGGCTAATAAATATATGGCAAAAATAGTTCTATAAGTCCTCTACATTGTTGCTGCCCTCATCGGTTTCACTGGACAAATCCTATTTGAAGGTTCCTCGTTACTCATCCGCGCTAGATCACCATTAGGTGCGTCGTAGTATACACCCCTGCAAAAACTAGTCAACTTAGATCACATACCTCTCAACATATCGACAACATCCCGAACATATCTATTGAGTTCACTCTTGACTTCTAGTTTGTTTGGCTTTAGGATCCTCGGTTGTAAAAGTGTTGAGGCTGTAGCAGTAAATAAATCCCCAAAATCAATAGCTTTGTAACTCTTCGGCTCTTGGTCACGCATTCGCACAAGATCACGAATGGTTACACCGTGCTCCAAATATTCTACAACCGCTAGTCAGCTTAGATTGATTGCTTCTCGACGTATCGACCGCTTATCGGATATATCTTCGAACATCTTGTGGTGACCTACTTTCATGATGAGAACACGATTGGCGTAATGGAACTTATTAGTATTATAACCAATTGTACCAGTGATTGTTTTACTGTACTTGTTTGTTTAACTGTGCCAAAAAAACTTTTCCTCTCGTTGTCCATTTAGCTTGCACGAATGCGCTTATGCTCCGTCGTTTTGCCTGTAATCTCCGGCACGTCTCGGAATTCTTTCGATACCCCGAGATCATCAACAAATATATCTTGTCTGGACCATTAACAGCCTTCTAGTTTTTGGCCTATCGATATCTGGCACGTAATCTTATTGTAATGGTGATCATAGTCAATCGCGACTCAACATCATCTACAATCTTCGCTTCCGACTTCTGATTTGACTGGGTTGGCACCATTCGATCATAAAAAGTGTTACTGGTCAATGTGTTGTCGAGCTCCGAAACATTGAGCTTTTGCCTGGAGTCCGTAATACGAAAGCCGTTCCGTAAACTTTGGGCATTCTATCTTTAATGCACCGCCATCAAAGTTATGAAGTGCTTTTTCATTTACCAACAACATCCGGAACCGTGTGTCTCTGGTTGTCATACAGTTAACTGTGATCCTGAAATAACTGCATGTCATGACTCATATGTCTTTTCAGTCAAAACCTTGGGTAAGCTCATCCCATCTATTGTCGAGTTGTATAAATCATCACAATGACTGATTCGCATCAATATAGTCTTTCTCGTGAAGAGCGAACGTCTGTCTCATCAAACTTCTTTTTCTGTGAGAAGATCAATGAAGTTTGGAAAGCCGTTGTCAGATATAGCTCGCAATGATTGTTCTCAGGATTTATAATCGAATGTTTATGGATATGTAACTGTTTAGATGTATCATCATTTTCAGATATCTTTCATAAAAGTATTGACGTCTGTGTAGCATAGTTTAATTTTGTCATGGAGAAAAACTGTGGACTTGATTATTGAAACGTTTAATGTTGAACTGTAAAACATATTTGAAGACATATTGAAGACACCCACTAGTATTGGAACTAGCAACTGAAGTTGGAACGAGCTCACTCAGGTTCTTAAAGCGTATTTGACTGATGTGACATGCATATATACGAACCACTGAATTCCTAGCACTCTTAAGCAGATCATTAGTAAGCTGTCGGAGATCTGTTCCTCAAGGTTTTGTAAAGTAAGGAGACTGCCAACACTCCATGTACGAACGACAATGTTTCTGTTTAAGCTATTTTTTCATTTTCATTTTTGTCATGAAACGAACTATAAAATGGCTGTGACTGTTCCGGAATATGAAGTCAATCACTCAAAGCTAAGAATAATGATAGTATACAGTTAACAAAATTAATCATCTTGTTAAGATCCTCATAACTAGGTCTTTTATCACTAGAGGTGAAACGGACAGTAGTTCCAGTCGATGGTTTAGTGTGTCTGATCTCGGCACACTTTAAGCACGTAAAATGACGAAATACACGTGGATTCCGTAAATTAAATTTACCATATTACAAATGTTTATCGAGTTTGTCCTCAGTTGTGTATACTTCGTTATGTCTTTATTGAGTTGTTGCATATGTTTTCACACGAGTGGGGATGATCATTAACTAAACGCTTATCTACACGACTATGAACACGGGTTAGTTTAGGACAACTAGGATCTCGTAATGAACATTTTAGCACCTGTATAAGCTTTTCTAAATTAATCGGATCTGTTCCTTCAGTTGATTTATCATGAAACTGGACGTGAATTTGGTCACCGAATTTACACGTGGTGGCTTATTTTTACGACTTCTTTCTAGTCACAACCTGTTTGCTGGTTTAGTGAAACATTTTGTGGATCATTGCTCTTTCACGGCTTTCAAAGTTTGTGAACTTAATACGATTGATAGTAGTTCTTTGAGGGCTTCATATAGGGGCATAATCGACTAATCTGGGAGCGCCTAATTTTTCAGCAAGCTGTTTTGCTCTTTTCAATAAATTCGAGGGAAGAAGTAGCTTTTTTTCCACCTTTAACATCAAATTTTACATTTCATGTTCATGTATAAACCAACTTTGAGGTTGAGAAATATGCTGAAATAGCTTTTTGATGCATTGCTTTTGGCGGATTACATAAAAAGTAATTAATTTTGAACTCAAACAACAAACCAATTTATCCTAAAAGTAAAGTAGAAAATTAGCATATAAAGGGACCAGCACCAATTTGTGAGTTGAGATTTGAAGTTAACTGGGTGAAGTTTGGAGCATAGATAAGATACGGTAGAATAAATTTTGTTTATTCTTATAGGAATATAACGAAAAATTACACCATATCTGCCTGTGGTGGCATTGGGCTCTAACCACATAATCCTCAAAGCTGAACATCAGACAACTGGGAAAATAGATATTTGGAATTTAATGCTGAGAAAACCCCAACAATGGAGAAGGCGGGGAGGAGGAATTCAGTTGAATCCAATTGGGTGTCATGGCTCAGCCATGCAGGCGTGGTCGCTCCAAATGACTTATTTTTAATCATATTAAATATATCGTTCTATCTTCAGCCTGGATGTGTTCCCCATAATTTATTGGCGATTGTTACGTACGATGAGTCAGTGTAGGATGAAACTGAAGCCGATGTGACTTCCACAGATGATCTTACAAATTAGGCAGTCCCATCGTGATAAATCTAAAATTTTAGGATTAGGCTTATTAATAATAATATGTTCTGAAAGTAATAAATACAGAATTCACACCAGTTTACAGGCACGATCAGCTTGATATAAATAGCAACATTTAATGTAGAGAACAAACATGGGATATAAGATTGTTTTATGTTTGCTGGTTTAGTAATTGATAAGTAGTTAATTTATGGCACGTAGCACGGCAAGCCAATGCAACACCAGGGAACTTTAAATTTTTTCTTAAGCGGATAGCCTGATGATTTATGAAAGTTTTTCTTTAAGGTTATTTCCAATGCCAGAACGAGTTATTGATAAATATCTACAACTAGAGAAAGTATGATTAAAGCAGAGTGCGTGGAACAATAAAATTAACGATTGCCAAAATATGCCGATCAGGTTTACCACTGTTCATGCTAGACATTATTCCAACACGTTAGAGTTGCTAGTGACAGTGTTAATGTGAAGTGACAGCAAGTAAGTGGTTAAACATTTAAAGTTCCTATAATCTCACTTGGGGAGTAAGATACACTTACAGGTGCCAGAGCATTTAATACATTTTCAGAGGAGCAGTATGCATCAATGCAGCGAACAAATAATGGGAGAGATTTTATCGTACGGATAGTTTGTGGTAGATTATTCCAGAGTCTAGAAAATGTACAGGTAAAGTAATTCATATAGAGAGAAGATCTGGAATATGTTTGTTTCGCTAAAGAAAAGGAGTTATGAATGTTGTAATGTGAAGCTTCAGCATATTGAATCGCCTAGTTGGATGTGAAGGATAGTTTGTTAAGTATTTTGAAAAAGAAGAACTCTTATCATCACTCTCGCAGTGGAGAAAATGGTATACTAGGTTATGCACCATCAACGCAACCCCAACATGTAGGCACCTGTCTTAATTGTCCACCAAAACAAATACAACAAATTATTCAACCTTACCAAAATAAGGATTTTTTTCGGCCTCCAGAGATCCCTTGTTCCACTAGCACTACAATTCGCTCATGCTATAGCCCATGCGATCCAGCAAACACATTGAACCATAGTCCAGGCATAGCTAGAACTCATACCTTCGATAAGGATGCTCTCGGTTTTTTTACACTACACACTCCCTTTTTAAACTTATTACTTATTAACGCACGTTCACTTCTGAACAAAATCTCAGCCTTGAGAACCTTAGCCTTTCTAGCCAAGCCTTCTTTTATACGTATCACTGAAACGTGGTGTTATCCAGCAGTGGCCGATTCCGAATTAAATATCAAAAACTATCGACTCTATCGTTGTGACAAAGAAACTAAGCGAGGAGGCGGTTGTGTTATATTTGCTTTGGATACCTTAACAACTAATAAAGTTGAAGATAGTATCTTGAATAGTTTACCAGAATCGATCTGGATATCAATCAATACCCTAAACCATAGTCTACTCCTAGGTTGTATATATAGAGCTCCTGATAGTACTGATAATTTGAATGATTGTATTATCAATGCATTTATACACGCATCTACTCTAAACTTCAGCGCTAAGATTATCACTGGTGATTTCAATTATCCTGGGATTAACTGGAGTACCGGTAGTTGTCAGTCTAGCAATGATGAATTTTTATCAATCCTTAATCTGTACTGCTGGTCACAGTGGGTTCGTACCCCAACAAGGGGTGA